AGTCTCACTCTGTCACCCTGAGTAGAGTGCCGTGGCGTCATCCTAGCTCACTGAAACCTCAAACTCCTGGGCTCAAGCAATCCCCATGCCTCAGCCTCCAGAGTAGCTGGGACTATAGGCATGCGCTGGGATGCTCAGCTAGTTTTTCTATTTTTAGTAGAGACAGGGTCTCGCTCTTGCTCAGGCTGATCTTGAACTCCTGAGCTCAAGCGATCCTCCCTCCTTGGTCTCCCAGAGTGCTAGGATTAGAGGCATGAGGCCCGGCCCCAAATTTTTCTTTAAAATAAAATTCCTAAATTGGTAATCTCCCCTGGGATTATTTTTAAAATCCTTTTTGGGATTATATAAGTAAAAATACTTATAGGAAGGTTGGAAATTAAAGGAAAAGATGAAAAAGCAAGAAATTTCATTGCCAGGTTACCACTGTTAATATTTTGGGCACATTTCCTGGGCAGATATTTGGGCAAAGTCTTTTTCTATGTATATTTTTACATAATTGAGATAATTTATTTTGCCCCCCCCAAATTATTTCTCCATGCAATTAAAGACTCTCCACAAATACATATTTAGTGGGTTTATAGTATGCCACCATATAGATGTGGCCAACGTATTTAGCAATTTCTCTGATTCTGGATGAGCAAGTTTCAGTGCGTTTTTCAGCTGTATGAATACCACTGTGATGAGCACTTCTGTGCCCATTTCTCACCCGTATTCCTGATCATTTCCTTAGGTAGCTTCACAGAAACAGAATCTCCTGTCATCCCTTCATTTCCATCTACTGTGTGGTCTCCTCTCTATCATAGCCAGCTTCTTTGAAGTTCTCTATGTGAACTGTCCCCTTTCCTACCTGGCTTCAGAGCCTTCAGGGCTTTCGTGTTTATTATGAGATGGACACTAAAGTCCTTGACGTGATCATCAAGACCCAACATGGACCTGCCCCTCCAATCCACCTTCTCTGGCCTCAGTCGCAGTGGCTCTGACCCACTGGCTCCTCACCCCTTCCCCAGCCCCGGGGCCTGCAAGCCTGCTTGTCCTGTCTGGAAAGTCTCCCTCCCACACCTGTCTTTCTTTTGTGGAATAGGAAGTGGGATACCTGCTTAGAGGAGGCGGGTGGAGGTTTGAGGAAAAGTGAAGGTATCAGAAATTCATTTAGGAGAGAGAGAAAGGAATTGACCAGACAGGTCCACAATGGATTTCCAGATAACAAGGCCCACTTTCATGATATATTTAGAGTTTGGATTATGAGATGCACATCAAGAGAAACGGAATTGGCATGCAGAGCCGGGATCACCTCTAGCTTCTGGTGAAAAGAGCTCACTTAATCTAAGTCAGCCTGGTGGGTTCAGTAGCTGCTTCCTAATGTTTGTTTTCTACAGTTCTCTGGAGAACTGCCTCTTCTTTGCTAATGCAGTTTATATGGATGATAGCACATTTTGTCATTAATATTGGTGGAGGATTTCACAAATAAGTACTTTTGCGATCACTGGAAGCCTTGATGTGAAAATCTTCATTTCTGGGTTTCTTTGGAAAACTGTATTAATGCCCTGTCCAATAGAATTCCTACTAGTTACATGTGGCTATTTAAATGTAAATTAATGGAAGTTTGAATAAAACTGGAAATATAATTTCTGAATCGTACTAACTATATTTCAAGAGCCACATGAGGCTGGTGGTCACCATACTGGAGAATGGAGACAGAACATTTTTATCATTGTAGAAAATTCTTTTGGAATTTTCTCATAAAGCACTGATCCAGAGAGTTGAAAAGAATCCACCTAAGTCATTTCTGAGGCTAGTCAGTGCATAGAACCGTAATTCAGGAAAAATAAATGGATAATTTTAGCCTGGGCTAGTTTGCTACTGTTTGCGATGCACAATTTGCTAGTTCATCTAGTTTTTCTTAAAAAAATGTATGTAAACATTAAAATTCTGCTCCCTTCTGGCATTTCCAGTCATTCACAAAATTCGGTGGAAAAGCCAGCCTCCCTGGGCCCACAGACCCCTGGGCTTCCGTTGCCTATATCCTCGTCATGGTCAAGTTGACCTGGATGACTTCCTGACCAAGCAGATGCCCCTGGCTGAAGAATAGGGGCTTGTCAAAAACTCTGTGGGCTTTATTTATTTGCTACAGATAAATCTCATAAATGCAAGACTGGTAGGTTCCAACCATTTTTAGGGATCCGATAAGCAAGGTTCTGATTCTAGATGAGACACCAGGTCTTTTGATATGGCCCGGCAATGGGGAAGGAAGGGACCCGCGTGACGTACTGGGGGCTCACACACAGGGAAGTCATCCTTTTCCACCTTGTCCTCTTCTGGGTCTTGTGCTTTCTTTGACTCTGCCAGTAATTCCTCCCATGCTCCACTTCTAGGAACCCTCCATGGAGGCATTTTATTTTCTACTTAATTCTAGGTCTTTCTTACACATACAGATTCTTTGTTTATTTCTCTCTACCCCTCAAGTCTGAAGATAAAGCCGTTTTTGTGAAAATGGAAAAGGTTAAAGGGCCGAAGAACTGGAGGCTTTTTATCTTCCTGGCTTTTCTTTCTCACAGATGGGGGGAGGTGATGTTTTACTGACCTAGGAGGGAATAATTTCAGAGTTGTGGGGGCTCCCCTATTTCTCCGCCCCCCCCCCCCGGGGAGGGGCCTGCTATGAGCAATGCGGGGGAAGAACTCCAGCAGCCCAGGGTGTGCATGTGCAGACTCACCTGCAGTAGCCTGGGTATAGAAAAAGCATTGTGGTCCCTCACAGAGATGCTTCTAAACATAGAATATTGCCGACTCTGTGATTCCATAACTTCTCTCGTTAGGAATGAGGCAAGTTGTTTTGATTGGCTTGCTTAACAGAAATTTTTAGATGTTGGTCTGTTTTAACGGTTAAAACCCAAATAAAATATCTTACACTTATGTAGCCTGGACAGTTTGCAAAAATATGTTCTCAAGCATCATTTTATTTGATACTTATGATGAACCTGTGGGCTGGGGAAAACATTTGCAGAAGAGGAAAGCTAGGCTCAGAGAGGTAAAGTGACATGCCCAAGGTCACACAGCTAGTAGGTGGTAGAAGTGAATTTTGAATCCCAGTCTAGTGTTTTTCTGAGAACATTGCTTTACTTCTCATTTATATTTTGGACTCATAAAACATACTGAAGTTGGATAACTGACGACGCAAATATAATAGTTGATACAAAAGATAACGTTTGTTGAGTGCCTCTAATGCCGGGGTTGGGGGAAGGGGCTACTGTAGTTGGATGGCATGGGTCCTGCCCTTAGGGAGCTTTCTTTGAAACAGGGGAAGAAATATATTTAAATCAACAAATGGACATTATTGTAGAGCAACATGAGTGGGTTAGTGCTTGTGGATGCTGGATAAAAGACAGTCCTTTCTAGAAGTCTTCCTGGAAGAAAGGGGTTTTGATTGGGTCCTGGAGGATATGCACAAAGACTAAGGGAGGGGCATTCAAGCCATGTGCAGAGGCATGGTGGTAGAAAAGAGAGTTGTAGAGAGTCAGCTTCAGTTTGGTGGAGTATTAAGAAACAAGAAAAGAGCGCTTGTTTATTATTTATTGAAAAGCTACCCTGCACAAGACACTGTAGAGCTGGTGTTACCATGGTGTGCAGCAGAGACATGGTTCCTGCTTTCGTATTGCTTAGACTTTGGGGGGAGACACTAATTATTGATGGTCAGTAACAGAATACACAAATATTTCTGATTCTGATTGTTATTATAAAGGAAACAGGACAGGATTCGATGAGAGTGTATAGTACAGTGACACAATAAATAGAGTGACATTTGAGCTGCTATATGAAGAGTAGGAGTTAACTAGGCAAATAGTTTTGGTGTAGGGAACAGGAAAAGGAAAGCTCAGAAAATGGGCAGAGCATGTGCAAAGAGCCAGGGATTCTGAGGAAATACGAAAAGGCCTGTGTGCTTGGAGTTGTGAGAGTGGAAGGGTGAGTGGTGTGCGGTGAGGCTGGGTAGGGGCCACAAGGTTGATCGGATTGGTCTTTATTCTAAGAGCCATGGGAAACCTCTGAAGTATTTTAAGCTGAGATCACATGATCAAATCTTCCTTCTGAAAAGATTGCTTTGCTGCAATGTGCAGAACGTTTGGGAGGGGTAATAACAGAGGTTTTGGAGCAACCCCTTAGGAGGCTACTGCAGTGGTCCAGGCTAGAGATGACGGTGGCTTGGTGCAGGGTGGTGGCAGTGGAGATGGAAGGAAGTAGGTACTTTCCATTAGAGATGTAGAAGATTGAAGCTAAGACTTGGTGACATGTTAGGTAATGGAGAAGCAGGTGGTAAGGACGGTTCCTGAGTCCCAGTTGCACCAATGGGATGGACCTGGCCCCTGAGATAGGAACCTTGGAAAGGGAAGAAGAAGAATGAAATCAGCTTTGGTTATCAGCCAGGCAGTAGGGTCTATGGGTCAGAAGCTCAAGGTGAGAACTGAGCTGGAATCAAATGTGTAGGTCACCGGTACATAACTGACAAGGGAAGCTCTGGGCATGGATGAATTCTCCTAGAGGGGAAGAGCATTAAACGAGGAAAGAAGGATCAGGCAGTGAGGATGTACACTGGCCAGGTAGTTGAGAACAAGCCAGCCCAGGAGCTGCTGGAGAGGTGGGAGGAAAACCAAAAGGTGCTTGAGTGTTATTTCATCAAGGTGGTAAAACTATTTAAAAAAACCAAAAAGAGGCATCTTTCAGTATATCTCTAGACCCATTTACTCATCACACCCCAAAATCTATTATGTGGCAACCATGCATCTCTAGATCCAAGGCTCTTGTGTTGTTGCTGTAACAAGATGTATTTATTTGTTCATTTATTGCTGTGACAGATTGCACAGTGTGTGTGTATGTGTGCATGTGTGTGCGTGCTTGTGTGTGTCTTCTGCCTGGAACAATAACCTCCTCTCCTTTCTCCCACGTCACTGCACTTTTGGCTGCCACTGTGGTTTGTTGCAAATTTGAGCTCATTTGATCCCACGGAGTACTAAACAATATCTGGTCTCAGTGTCTCTGTGGTTCTACTCTGGGCAACCCACCTTCATTTGCCAGCTGGGATCTCTTAATGAGCTAGCTGTGCACTGTTCAATAGTAAAACGGTGTTAGCTGGTGAAATATGTTTGAAGAGCTCACTGTTAGGATGTTCCGCATTAGGCCTGCTTCCATTCTCTCTCTGGCCTTCTCTTTTCAGGATGGCTGTAGCTCCTCCAAGTTACTGTTTTGTGGCCTTCCCGCCGCGTGCTAAGGATGGTCTGGTGGTATTTGGGAAAAATTCAGCCCGGCCCAGAGATGAAGTGCAGGAGGTTGTGTATTTCTCTGCTGCTGATCACGAACCAGAGAGCAAGGTTGAGGTAAGTCGTGCATTGCAGTCTCTCGAGTCATGCTGACTCTCTTTCTGGCTTTGGCACCAGCACACTAACTTCTTTCTTAGAAGCCTACTAGTAAGAGTTGTCACGTTGGTTCTACTCATTCCCATTTCCATTCAGATTTTCTCATAGCCTTAAAAGCAAAGTCACATGGAGAATTCTATGTACACTGCTATGGCCCTTGTTTTATGATTAAGTAAAATATTTACATGGTTCTAAAGTCGAATTAAAAAAACCAAGATATAGTCAGAGAAGTCTAGCTTCTATTCTTGTCTGTCTTACTCCATTTCCTTTTTCCCTATAGGTGATTATGTTTTAGAAGATTTTTTGGTTTATCCTTCCATTTAAAAAATTATATATATATATAATAAATTACACACACATGCACACATTCATCCTGGTTCCTTTCCTCCTTTCTTAGATTAATAGCAGCATGCCATGCACACTTTTCTCTACTTTGCATTTTTCAACTAAAAACATATCTTGGAGATCACGCCATACAGTACACACCAGTAGTCTTCATTCTTCATATAGAGCTGTGTGTTGCTTCATTCTATGGATGTACCATACTTTAATCAGTCCCATATTGCTGCTGGACACTTGGGTTTTTTTCCAGTCTTTTGCTATTACAAATAGTGCTGAAATGAATAATAGCCTTATACATCTGTCACAATATCTGGTCTTGGTTTATATATTTTTATCATGTTAAAAATTATCAATAAATTCCTATTCTCAGTACTTTAAAAATACTATTTTTTGTCAGCATTTCTTTGGGATACATGCCTAGAAATGGAATTGCTGGGTCACAAGGTGAACAAATATCTAATTTTGTTAGATATTGTTAAATTTCCTTCTGTAGGTGGGGTATACCATTTTGCATTGCCATCAGCACCATATGACAATGTCTGTTTCTCCTTTTTTTTTTTTTTTTTTT